AAAGGCTGGATATGGCTGTTGACCGTCACATTCTTCTATTTCATCAGTGAATACATGATAGACATACAATGAGACCAATGTACATAGCCTGGTTATAGTTTTGCCTTGCCTGATGAAATTACAAACCCTTCATCAGTCTGGACAGAATAAGAGCTAAAACACTGCTGAGATGAGCTTTCTGCAGGTGTGGCATGCAGGACGCCTCACCATCAACAGGTAGCATGAAGGAGGGAGAGGAGGTAGTCCTGTAACAGTCTTGTTTGTGTTGTGACAAAAATAAACTACAGATAGCGTTGAGCTCGTCTAGACAACTAAACAGGTCACTGCCATCATTTCAGCGTTCAGTCCAAGAACAGAAAATGTCCCTGGTCACTCAGAAGGTCACATGCTGGAAACATTTCACATCATTTAAAGAAGGCTGACCTTTAAAATACTTAAAAAAAAAAAAAGTCAACTAATGTCACATAAAACTACCACAATGCTTTCAAATGCCTTCCCTTTGACTTCTTCTAGCCTGTACAAATGCAGGAGGTGATGGAAGTACACAATACGTCTCCTACTACGACATACAGCTCTTGATGTAAGCCCAGGTAAGCTGTCCTGTGATACAGCATTGTCTTGTTTACAAGATACATGAGTGAAACTGTTAAAAGCTAAGGCTGTGATGGATTTGGTGGAAAAAAAGATGTTTAACTTGCTTTTGTTTTCAGATGTCCCTGTGTGGACAGTATAAAGCCTGGCATGGGGGGACTAAAAGAAAAATTGTGGGTCACTTGGTAACTTCAGTACAGTATACAATATGTAAAATAAATGGCACTTAACACTAGGAATATCTCATAACTGTACAAAATCGGCCTGGATGAGGAGTTGAGTCTCAGCTCCTCCTCTGGGTAATAAAAGGTCAGAGGTCAGACCATCACAACAGCTCTTAGAAGGGATTCTTGCAGGCCAGCTGAAGCGGACACTGCCATGGACCAAGGCTCATAGAAAGATGGCTTTTTGTGTTTTTTTTGTCACAACGGAAGCAAACTCTGAGTGATGCAGAGGAATTTGCCTTTAAGCAGCTTTGCGGTCAGTCTGCACCTGCTCGAAGCGGCTTAGTCGTCATTTGATTGTCACTTTGAGTGTGGAAATAAACAGGTGTTAAAGGATACCTCCACAGTATGATGCTCTTGAGTCCAATTTTCACCTGCCCCAGGAAACAGAGATTCTAAAAGATGCCATTGTGAACAGACTGACAACTAAGTGCTTAATACCCAAAAACTGTTTCAACAAACACAGACATGGTTAATATCAACACAGTGAGAAAGTGTCACTTGTCTCAGTGCCATCCATCTGGCAAGTCATCTCTTTGCACGCAGATGCCTGAAGTCAGTAGGCCTTCGCCGTTCTCCAGGACCCTCCCTAAAATATGATATCAGCAATGAACAGCATGCTTACCCTGTAAACCAATGATATGACCCTCTCACATAACAATCTCTGTCTCCCACACCCGTCCCCCGAAAAAAGATACATCATTCAGATAAGAGACAATAAATGACACCATCAAAAGTTCACCATCAAAATGTACTAAAGGTCTCAGCTCACGTTCCAAACACAGGACTGGACTGACTGAAGTCAAAGGAGAAAAAGAAAGAACCAAAACAAGAAAAACAGGATGCTGATTCTCCTCCATTCTCATCATACGTATTCTTGTAGTGGTAGCAGTGCACAGGCCGCCGGCACCTGGAGTTCACCGTGAACAAATGTGAGACGGTCCTCGCTGTAAGTTGCCGAACTCAGGTCAGATCTGCAGTCAATATCTGTCACTAGAGCAGCCGTCGTCAGGCTCCTGACCAGAGCAACGATACAACCTCAGAGTCCCTTCCATACGAGTGTCAGCACATTAGAGTGATTCACCCAAAAGGTGCAGGTCAATGTGTCTGTATTGATAAGGCCAGTGAGGAAAAGTAGTAAAGTTATTTTTTTATTTATTTATTTTTTTTTTAAGTGATTTGTCCTTTAGAGTACTCCTGGAGTGAATGCATAACACATAAGCGCAAACATACACACAGGCACACACGGAGCAGCAGTATTCAAGCTCATCGATGCTTGGTGTCAACACGACCCTTGCTTGAGTACTGATGGAGGAAATGCAGAGTGGAATGGTGTGGGTAGCTTTGCAGATGCCTCAGCAGGTGTGTGTATGTGTGTGTTTGGCTGCAGCAGCACTGAAGGTGTTGACTGTTAAGAGGGTCCTGTTACACGGTGGCATTTCGGGTCACTCGCTGTCAGACAGGGTCTCATACTGAGACATGAGCAGAGGCTTTGGCTCATCCTCCCAAGAGCGGCCCTGACCAGGTGCTGACCCCAGGGCCTGGCCCCCCGGCTGGCCGGGGGAGGGAGAGTGAGTAGACACCGGTCCACTGGGGTAGCGCATTATCAACGGGTTATATGGAAAGGGAGTTGGTGTTGAACCTGCAAAGAGTGACAGAACTATTACATGTCGCAAACAAACATGTTCTCTTTTTACAGACAACTACTACAACAGACAATTGAGTCAAATCAATTAATAATAATCAAACAGAGACTCAAAAAGGGGTTTTAAACCTGTAGATGAAGGTCGTTCCTCCCACACACGGTTGGTCAGAGGAGTCCGTCTGTTGCAGTCTCCCTCTGAGTGGACTGAAGACACAGAGGACGGTCTCTCTCCCCCTGACAGGCCTGGTCCTGGAGACTTGGCCTTGCGTCCATTAGAGCGGCCAATGCCCTTTGAGGACTTTCCCCCACCTGCAAACACAGGGGTAGAACTCTGGTTTTAACCTCTGGCACAGCTGGTCCCACTTTGCCTGTGGTGCCAGTAGGTTTCACTGCAGAACAAATTCAACTACATTAGGTTTTGCCAATAACTCAACTGCTATTTGTTTCACATTATTTGGGTATCAAAAATAGCAGAGAAGCACACAATTCAATCTTTATCTTTCATGAAATAATAAAATACACTATTATTACGTATTGCTTACAAACACTGTTGCAACAAAAAGCTTTATATAAGACTTACAGAATTAAGAGGAAGATTAAAGAGAAGAGTCAATATACAAACAAGCTAAATAATCAAATGTTACACATTCATACACATAAGATCAATACCACTCATATTTGTGTGAATGAAGCTATAGCCAGGAGATGGTTAGCTTAGCTTAGCATTAAGACTGGAAGCTAAGGGAAAGCAGCAGCCTGACACCAGAAAAGAGCTAAAGAAGATCAAATACAAAATCGCACCTTGTAAGAAACAGTCTTCGGCACGTCCGTCAGCTACAGGCATACCAGTGGACACACTGGAACCCATCGGGGTAGCAGCATTGGATGGAGAGCGTTCCTCAGACTGATCGTGATATTTGCCCATTAAGGCCTTTCTTATAATGGCCTCCAGGCCTATCGAGTTACCTGGAGTCTCTGGAGCTGGGTGGGTGCGGACGTTCACAGGTCCTGTGACAGGAAGGCATGTTAAACAAATTAAAGGGAGAAAGGGATGGCAAGTATAGGGAGTGCAATCAGAAGCAGGAAGAAAGGGCAGGAAACAAAAGACAGAGTAATGATAGTCACAGAAACACATCATTACATGGTAACCTGTAGAAAGTACAAAGCAGCTAAGTCACAGAAAACAGAACAGAATGAGAATTGTAAAAAGGCAAGGAGAGTAGAACAGACAAGTCTTTAGTCAGGGAACATTTATTGCATTATACACTGCAGTTTAGTTTTGTCTAGAGACTGTCCAAAGGACAGGTCTGAGAATGGGCTGAATTTCTTTCATACTACATTACCACTATCGGAAACTAGCGGGTAGCATACCCCGTGCTTCCCTAAACCATCACCGAGCAGCCTCCGGCGCTGATGCGGACCATCCTGCTTTCTTTTTCCACTGTATTTTCCTCTCTGTTTGGAGGAGGGAGGGGCTGCTCCCCCCTCACACATGCAGCTAGCTTTGTGTTTGCACATGGTGCTTGTAATGCTCACGCTTGAGGTGTGAAGACAGACATTTAACCAATCACTGGCGACCGCTCTGCATGTATGTATCCCCCCCCGTGTTCCTGGTACTTGATTTTAGTACTACCTCCTGAGGGGTGCCGAAATTTAGCTCCCAGAATGCCACTCTAAATCAGGCACACCGTGGTGGAAACAAACGCAGAACCCATGACGAGCGTTACTCAGCATGACGCGTTTCAATAGTAATGAAAAAACCCCTTTAAGGTCTCTCTCAGGTCTTGCAAACATCCAGTGTCGTAAATGTCAAAGCAATTTTGCTTGTGTCACACAGGAACCCACATCAAGTTAACTGTCTGTGTAAACACCACCTGTTCTGTATACAGTAGATTTCCCCTGAGCTTTAGTCTGACGACCTGCAGCAAACACTGTTCATGTCGGTGAGTGGCTGATACTGTACATACACTCTGAAACAGACCATGGCCTTGGACATCAGTATGCTTGAATCTAAATCAAATGTTGCTGAGTCACACAGATACAAAAACAGATTTGCACACAGACTAAGCTAAAATGTATCTTCCTTCCCGCCAAGTTCTCCGCCACTTCAGAACACTGTTGCCTGCAGCTATTCCACAACGTTGTGACTTATTTATTTCCCGATTTATTTTTCCTAACACTGTATTAAGCTATTTCATCTTGCCTGGTCAGTACCAACAGACCTCAAGCTGAATTATGCATACTGCTGCTGTATATGACCAAATTCACAAACCATGTCATAGTAAATTGTTCTGATGCAAGTTTAACACTTCTGCTATAAAGCTACTGTCACCATGCTGCTCCATTATGATGGGGGTACAGATGTCTTAGCTTCAACAAACATCCACTCTAGTGTTTTACTAAAACATTTGCTCCAACAAACAAAAAGTGCATCAGTATTGCCACTTTAAATGTTGATGACTGAGGAAGATTTATAGGATTACCTGCAGTTGTAGACACTGGCATATTGAAGATCTCTGTCCCTGGCTGCCCAGCATCTGAAAAGGTGAATGGGATTTCTTTTAAAAAGGTTTGTGCTCTTTATTAAATTCCACACAAGTTTACTTTTGAAAACTATTTTTAGTCATGCACTCATGCTGGTGCTGAGTTCAGACTTACTGAAATCAGCATCGGTTCCCACCACAGTCATCTTCTTGATCATCTCCTGTTTCTTTGACTTCACTATAGCTGAGGTGCTCTCTGTCAGCTTGCTGAAGAAAGCTGGAGGCTGGGAGGGATTCAGGGGAGAATGGGAGCCCATTCTACAGGAGAAAAAAATGGAGTCAGGTTAAAACACATATTAATCAAACTCCTGTGATAGTCCAATAATATACTTTTTAAAGTTCAGATGCTTAGATGCGTATACATTTGTAAGCAATTTCTTTTTTTAGAGATGGTTTCTGCACTGCTTTTAAATGCAGTAATTGGCCTAAGCAGTGTTTGCAAGTAATTCCAACATTAATTTAAACTAAAACTAAATAATCCACTCATGCAACCATTTACTGCTGAGGGTTGCAGTGGTATCAGGCCTAACAGAGAAGCCCATACACTTTCCTCATCAGCTGCAGTACCCCCCCTTTCTTACGGAAGAATACCTTTTCAGGATTTTGGCATCCGTTTTCCAAGGAGATTAGCAGTATGTGGGATTCCACCTACATGCTCTAGAGAGCACTGTGAGCCTGTTCTAACACTTCTCCTTGACTGCTGGAATACCCCCCTCACAATGTGGCAACCACCTCTAATATCCTATGCACACTGTCCCCAGAATATTTTCACTTTTGAGCTTTTAAGCTACTTTAGCAACATCCTAAGAGGGGCATGGGTAGGCACGTCAGAGGCCAACTAGAAGTGATTTTTCATCTTACGAATCCGTCTTTTTTTGGTTACATTAATTCACATGTGCTATTCACTGGGGTGAATTAAATATTTAACTCTGGAAAAAAATAACTACAGTCATGCTGATCTAAACTGGATAAGCTGTGTTCAAAATAAACTGAATACATACAACTGAATTATAAGTGCCACGCTTGACTTGAGTTTCAACAAGTAATACAACATATTTGCAGCAATCTGCTTCTGTAGTGAAACCGTGGCAATGTGAGCGGTTACCCTTGCTCTCCCTGCTCGTTGGGGTAGAAGTCCCCTCCCAGGTCTTCAGGCTCCGAGTTGGCTCCAGCAGGAGACACTGGTTCAATGCCATCATTTGAGACACTGACAGGTGATGTTTTGGGCTGAGGAGACCTGGAGAGAATACAGAGACAAATACTGTGCATCGCCAATTCAAATATACAGTACAGATGATGTTTTCTGGACATGACTGACTACGATGCCCCCCTATTACTGTGATCACTGACATGCATATTTCACTCAGTCTGTTTTCTAATGTATTACTGTATTTGCCGCCTGGGTGAACTACTGAATTTAGAAACATCAGCAACAAGGATGAGGGTCCTAACACTTGACAGCAATTCCTACCGGTCTCTGCTGCATTCTCCACCAAGGCCCTCTGGATATCGGGGCCCTTGGGCAGACTCCTGTGATGTGGGTGGGGGCTGGGAGGCACTGGGTGGACGGGTCAAGTCCAGGACAGGAGAGCCACGGTAGCTTTGTTGCTGCTGCTGCTGGTTCTGCCTGGTGTAGTCTTTAGTTATCACCTCCTGTTTATGTAAAGTCAAAGCCACATTAGAAACGGGACAACACTGTCTGGCATACAGTAAGCGTCAGAATTCCTTGAGAATACCTATACCTTTAAAACCACTTAGGAAGCGAGCTACATAAATAAAAATATGATTATTGTTTAATGTTATTGTGCCTTTTTTTTTCTTTTTTCTAAAGATGCACCAATTGATTGGCTCGACATCAGACTTTTCAGCCGATCAGTCTAAGATATTGGATTCTGTGCACGATGGTTCATATCGTACATACAGTGGCACAGTCAACAACATCACAGCCATATGCAATATTATTGACGTGGAAGTTCTTTACTGTGGGTGAAGAGGACACAAAGCTTGCAATCTGTAATACATATATGGCCAAAAGAATCTGTGGAGGCTCAACCACAAAACATTTGGAACAACAAGTGATTGCATGCACCATTTCTACACCAAATGAGTAACATTTCTGTCTAAACCAAACCTGCCAAATAGTACACATTATGGGAATTACTGGCTACACTAGGAATGCATGTGTACCCAAAAAAAATCTGACTCAGCCAAGAAAAGAGCAATCTGTTATCTCCAGTTTTTTTTCCTTTAGTAATTCAGTGGTTGATCAGACATACACTGATGTGTTGTGCCAGAGTGACCACCCTCTGGCTGCCTTTAACACAGGGGGAAGGCGGCTGTTGGCCTGGAGACAGTCTCTCCTCAGACGGAGGACGGTACAGACTGAGTGGCTCCATCTTCTGTTGAGCTGAGACTGAAATCAAAAGAACAGACACGCAAGCACACCCACACATACACAATCAATCAAATAATAAAAAAAGTCACATCCACACAATGGTAAAAGTTAGTTTTGTTTTTTTCAGTCCATGATGACATAACTCAAGATCTATACTAAGGAAAAACATGCATCAGAGAAGTGTGTCCATCTATCACGACTTAGAAGTGCAATTTAAACATTTCATCTAGCATCAGTGCATGAATGCTAAAAGGGAACGTTTTCCTATAAAAATACTATTTGAGTGTGTGTGTGTGATGAGCTACTTCAAAACTCTAAATTATTTATAGTGTCCTCTTTGCATACAGACCTAGCGAGCCTGGCATCTACCAGAAATGATGCTAAAATGACTGGTCTTGCATCAGTGACTCATAAATGAAGAAGTAGGCACACAAAGTCACTTTAACTGATAAACTGAACTTCTGTCGCAGACAGATCAGAAGGCAGAGACAAGGACGGCACAAATGCATTTGCAGTATGCTACCAATACAAGGCCTTTACAATTAAGAAATTATTGCTGAACCAGTGTGGGACTAAAGCATCCCACCTGCACACTCTGGAAAGCACTGTGAGCCTCTTCCAAAACCTTTTCCCTTGTGCGTCATGTCTCTCTGTGTTTTCTTACACAACACTTGCACTACACTAGTTATCTCAGGAGAGGATGATGTAAGTTTAGAATTGACTGTAAAAACTCCCAGAGAGGACAAGTCCCCCAGAGGGACAGGATACTGTGGTTTTTGTTGTTAGCTTGCTACAGCAGAAGAGACTCTGGCTTCATTTCAGTTCTTATAATAGCCTGCATGTCTCTCTGTGGTCCTGTCTACTAGCTGTGATTGCACGCCAACAGCAAGGTGATAATGTCTTGTTACTATGCCTATCCAGTACTCTTATCAGTTTAGAGAAGTATGCTTCCTACTGACTAATATATGTACAGTTACAAGGATATTTTAAGCCACAACATGTATTTGAACTCAGCATGCAATTGTCACTTGCCCTACTGTCTTGCATTAATACAGATATGACACATTGCTCTACAAGCAGAAAACAGCAAAACAAAATCACATTCCAAATGATGGACAAACTCCCAGCGGCTTGACTGAGAGACATGTGTTGAGCGTTTGGTGTGGGGCGGGGGGGAAAATCTGCATAAATTACTGTGAGCCATAAACAGGAACATGCAGAGATTTAGAAGCCGAGAAGCTGTAGTACCCGCCCCCTCCCCCTGGATGGCTGAAAGTCTCCCTAGTTTTTCCATGTCCCTCCCCTTTTCCACCCTCCTCCTATGCAACACCGGTGCTCTCTGGGACCCCAGGGAGTCAGTTTGGTGGTTGGTAAGGCTTTTGGTAGGTAACATTTTATGAAAGGGCTGTCAATGCCAATTCTCTGTTCCCCCTTAGTCATCTGGGTTGCATGTGGTCACTGTCCAATGTAGTGTCCCAGCACTATGTTTCAAATAAGCCTGAGTATCTATAGAAAAGTGTGCTTCATAGATGCAGTAGTGAAGTGGAGCCACTCCAAGAATGAAGTCAGCCTGTTTGAATTACAGGCAGTCTCATTTAACGTGGGATATAAAGGCCTCCTGTGGTGCACTTTTCAAGTGTCAAATATTCTTGTAGTGCCCACTTTCATGTGGTAAAATATTCTGTTTAAAGTAAGCAGCTGAATGGAAGGAAGGAGGGGTGCCACATGTAAAATTCAAGTCACATCCTTTACAAAAACAAAATGAAAATAATCAGCCAAGGATGTTCTGCCTTAATATCTCACAGCTTTCGCTACTTTAAAATGACACCTTAAAGGACACCTAGGATCTTCTACATGGAAAATTAAATGTGTTGAGCTGTTAGCCATTAATATTTTATCAAGCTTATAAAAATGCTTCTTTATATTTAAAGGCAGCCAGTCAGGTCCAATTTGAACAGGCTAGAAGAGAGCACCCTTGATTTGCCAGAGAGCACCCTTGGTGGTCTTTAAGTCTAGAAAAATCTAATAATAAAACTGGAAAAAAGCAAAGATTTACAGCATTGAAAGAAAAAAATGTAAATGAATTAGGCTGATTTGATAAAGCTAACCACCACAGCGTGCAATAGGCCACAGACTGACAAGGGAAGGTCTGGGTGATGAGGGGGACCCTGGGATCCAGAGTGTCTTACCATCACTGGTGCTGCTGGAAACAAGTGAGCCCATCTCTGGCATCCCCGTTTCACAAGAAATTTGACGCATAATAATCGCGTTTATGAAGTTGGCCGCAGTCATGGTGGTCTTACCGAGTGCTCGGAGTTCTTGTTCCTGAATGGACATCGGTTTGTTTTGAGTCTTTTCCCTACTAGGTGTACTGCTTTCTCCACAGCCCTGAGCATTATCCGACTGGGGAGGCAGCAGGTGTTGGGGCCAGCTTGAAGCTGAGGGATAGGAGCCTGGGTACAGTCCTCCTATACTGGGGCTGGACAGCTTAGGGTCAGATTTGCTGGAGGATCCATGCTGGTCCTTGAGTAGACTGCCCCTGTTTTTGCCTCCATCACGACTCTGCTCTTTGGCTATACTTGAGTCCATGGCAGGTGGGTAGGCCTCAGCAGGCACCCCTGTCTTTTGGAGGTGGCCGGGGTAACCCTGGTAGCGGGCTGGCCCTGTGGGCATGGACCTGGCAGGCCAAACATACACAATAAACATGGGAATCAAAACATTATCTTTGCTGTGAATGTTATGGATAATTATCTCAGGAAATGTCCCAGTGTCACAATAACAGAACTAAACTGTAATTTACCGTAACACAGATGAGCTAGAATGTTCGTTGACAGAAAGACTCTTGCCCCCAGTGTTGTGCAGGACACTCGGCCTCTGCTGCACATTCTCCTGGTTGCGAGGTGACACTGGGGAGTGTTGGTGGCTATATGGTTGGGAAGCAGGTCTCACACTACTACTGCTGCTTGCCAAACTGTGCTCTGTACCTGAGGAGAGCAAGCAGATTCATTTAGTATCACAAGTGTATTACTCTTTTCTCTAACTACATCTGTGCTGCTAATATGTGACTTAACATTTAACCTGCAGACAAAAATGAAAACAATTCCATTTGCTCCATACCTGGTCGCCAGATGGGGGCGTGCTCTACATTTCCAAGAGACCCACCCTTTTCTCTATCACGCTCTCGGTCTCTCTCTCTGTCCCGGTCCCGTTCACGGTCCCGTTCACGGTCCCGTTCACGGTCCCGTTCACGGTCCCGTTCACGGTCCCGTTCACGCTCCCTTTCTCTCTCTCGTTCTCTGTCTCTCTCTCGGTCCCTCTCCCGTTCTCGCTCTGAAAATGATGATGCGCTTTGCATCTTATTTATGTGTGACGAGCCAACTGCATAGAAAATAGGCAAAGAAAAAAACAAATATAGAAATAAGACTGCAAGAAAATTCATCTCTAAATGAGTTTGCTTGTTTGAACTGAATTGTACCAGGTGAGATGGGCGAGGTGGTGTAAGGCCTGCCGGAGAAAGTAGCGCCCCCGGGGATATAGGTGATGCGATCCATGGGGGAGCCGCCTGTCCCTGCAGACGAAGGGACCAGGACTGGTAAGTGCGGCACTTGAGAAAGATCGATGATCCCTAGGGAACAAAAAGAAGAAAAGAGTCATGAAAACCCTGGCCCAGATGTGTTTTGGTGTATAGGACAATGAGTAAATAAAGCATAATACTGCTGTCTCAGATAGGTCCATATTGCAGGATATCATTTAGTGATTTAACAGTGGGAAGCTTTGATACGTAGCAAAATAATGTGAGAAAACTTTAGCATGGTGTCTTTGAGAGACAAGTAGAATTACCATTTAAAATGATAGACGGACTAATAGGTCCGTCTATCATAGGAAAATGATAAATCAAAATACAAAAAAAAAAGACAGATTAGATTCTGCCTTAGTGAGCATTTCAAGAGCAAGTCACCAATGGATGATACAAGACACGCATTTATCAACATTTCTGTTTTGCTGGCATTCTCCAGTTCATTACGTTGCACTGAAAACCAAAACTCAGTCACTGCTCCCTTATCGACTCCCAGTGATAGCAACTTTTCAGCATCTTAAATGTATTTTAACTTTATTGAATTACCTTGATTTTTTTATGGACAAATGCTGTAGTACGATACATTTGATGCTTTGGTAGGTTAACTCCCAGACTACCAATATAATTAAAAATAACTAGAATTGCTGCTTCAGGGTTCTATGCCTCCGCCAACCAGTTAAATTGACAAAAATGAACAGATGTGAGGTCAGTGACCTTTGACCACCAAAACCTAATCAGTTCATCCTTGAGTCCAAGTGGACACTTGTGCCAAAGTTGAAGACACTCCCGTAAGGCGTCCCTGACATTTTGTGTTTGCAAGAATGGGCCGTAAAGACAGAAGGATGTACGGACAACCCGAAAATATAATGTCCTCGGACGCAGTTCTCGCCGGTGCAGAGGCATAAAAATATTTGAAATAGAAACAACAACTAAGTCAGATTATTTATGTTTCCTTATCTAGTGGTTACTAATCACCATTACCTTATCTGCTGCTTGAGGCAGGAGCCGACTGCTACAAGAGCCAGACAAGTACTATCCAAGCTGGGTATGCAACGTGCAGCAGAGATAAAAATCAGATTCAACAAAAAAAAAAAAAAGAAAAAAAAGCTAAGAGATAAAAGAAATTGCAACACGAAAAATTGATGCAGTATATCTAAACCTGAATTTGCTAAGATCGACAACCTTTTTCTAAAATATGATAATGTAACATAGACATAGTGAATGCATTATCCAATTGCAATGCGAGCCACAGTGGGCCATGAACAGCAGTGCACCCTTCTGTTGTCCATTAACGGTAAAAGATCTTAAAGTCCATCTGGAGGTACAGCACACTCTGTCTGTGTTGGTAGTTTACAAATGTTCTGTTGAAAATAAATTTTAAGTTTGCCAAAAATCTTAAAAAGCCAGTGTGCACACAACCTAAGACAACATGAGGGAAAGTGAGTGTTGCGAAGTCAGATAGTCTTACCACGTGAGGCTGCAGAGTAAGGCAGAGGAAGGGGCTGATCTCGCGGAGTCAGGCCCCTCAACAGATCTGAACGCTGGGCCATGGCAGCAGCTGCAGGCCACTGGTGCATCTGCTGGGAGGTGATGTAGTCGTTGAGCAACGTCTGGCGGTTCTCCAGCGCTGCAGTGTCAGGAAAGCCACGGAGGATGTAGGGGTAGGCATGGGGGTACGCTGGGTTGGGGACTAGGTGGCGAGGCAAGTAGTAGGCTGCTGCGTATGAAGAGTAGGAAACATCTGTCATTCATGCTGAGCAAAATCACAAATTAAAATGATTACGGGACACACAGATATTTTCACCTATTATCCCTGATTAGATTTCATCTCAGTGCTGTGTGGGTGCATACAGAATGTCCCTGACTGACATCTACCTCCTTTCACTGTTTTGTTTCACCTTTCTGACTGTGTTCAGAGCTCTGGAAAAACGCTTGAAAGGAATACATTGGTGTGGTCATGGTACTACGGCTACTGGCAAAAAGATGAAATACAAACCGAGGAGTCCAGTTTGAAGGATTACCAGACACAGAGACAATGGTATTCTACCTGTCATATGTGTTTAGTCAGTGCAGTGCTTTGCCAGTTGAGAACACACTATGCTGCAGCCAAAGCTGAGCTAATTTTTGTTCCATGACAATAGTCTCACTGCAATAAAGAAGAAGGCTGGATTTTTCAGTGCAAGTTCACAGCAGATCAACTGGTGCCTTTACGATTATTTTAGAACAAACTTCAATGACCTCAAGTATTTCTCAGCAAAGCTCCCTGAAAGCTAATCAGGTCAGAAGCACTGAAAGCACCTCAGAGGATGTGCAGAGTCTTCAAGAAATTCACATGTAAAATAAGAGTCTCAGAGAACAATGTTAACATGTTCTGTGTGGCTTTTTGGCACTTAATTGTTGACTGTGGCTGTACCTGGGTCAATAGGGATGCCACGGGGCAGTGCTGTAGGATCAAAGGCTAAGGGAATTTGATGGTATACTTCTGCAGGTCCAGGACCCTGCAGTAGACGCTCATAGGTCTGTGGATCAGGGACACCAGGGAGTGGTGATTTGGTGGCACTCGTCTCCCTGGGGGTTGGTGTGGCTCTGCGCTCCTGAGACGGATTCTTACTGGAGCCTGGAGTAAAGAAAAACAATAATAACAAAAATATTTTAGATGATGCAAACTCCACACAGAAAGGTCCCAGGTGGGGCCCGAACCTGGAACCTTCTAGCTGTGAGGCAAAGGCGCTAACCACTGTGCCACCCGGCTTG